GGGTGTGTGGCAGTTGACTTGCATATGTGATTGCCTAGGTGTGAACTGCTCAGTCCTTTCAGTGGCTTCCTGGAAGAAGTTTTTTTTTTTTTTTTTTAAACAACGTGGTAAGGAAAGAGACCATTAACTCTAGAAACCTTCCTATCAGATGTGAGAAACTTGAAGTCATAGGCCTCCCATTCGAACACTGGTTCTGTAGGATAAAAAAGAGCTCAAGTTTGTACATATGTACACATATACACACACACACACATACAATACATGTTATGTTGTTGTTATGTGCCATCGAGTCAGCCCCGACACATAGCGACCCCTTCTTAGGTTTCCAAGGCGTTATCACTACAGAAGTAGATTGCCCCATCTTCCTTCCAAGGAGTGGCTGGTGAGTTTGAAAACATAGTTTAGACTAAAATGTTTTAAGAAGCTATATCTGAGGATAATTAATGAAAAAAATTCCCTTTTGGAGACTTCCAGTAAGATGGCAGAATAGGCAGACAAGCTACACAGACCCTCTTCAATGAAGAAAAGAGAAAGCATGTGACATGGATACAGAAGATAATCCTGGAGCCCTGAGTTTTGAAAGGAAAGATACAGAAGAAGTGGATTAAAAACCAACTAGTAGAAGAACCTGAATGAAAACAGTGAGTAAGTAGACAAATGGAGCTGTGGACTGTCAGCTGTCTTGACAGCATGGACAACCTGAATATTTCCAAGTGGTGTTAGGACCTGAGAATTAACCTAAAAATAGGCCCTGCTCACCAAGGGCTGTGTGGACTATGGCATGGGTAGCTGACAGCTTAATAGGGAAACAGCAAAGAAGGAGACAGACTGAGCTGTGGACTTTCGGCTAACCAGAGGGTGCAGCCATTTTGAATGTTAACTAGTGGTGGCCATTTTGGATATTTAAAGTAACAGCATTCTCATTCAGTGCCAGGGACCTAAGAATAGGCTCTGCTTTCCAAAGACAGCACGGGCATATGGGAGGCTGATGACTGGAAAGGAGAAAGGTGGTGAGTGCGTAAGTGCTGCTAACTAGCAAATAGAGGAGCACAGTACGCTACTTACTCAGATACAACAAAACAAAATGAAAATCTTGGGCGAATCACTCCAACATACAATCATGAATTAAATATAAACACAAAAAACGTCTTAGAGACAACAGAGCATCACAGTCCAGTCCACACAAAGAAGCAAGAAAAAGCAGTAGAAACAAGGGACCAGGATGCATACCCAGAACACATCCCTGAGGAAGCAGCAGCATTGGAACTCCCTGGTAAGGAAATCAAAACAATTATATTTAGGTACCCTCCCTCAGCGGATTGAAAGACAGATCAAGGAAAACACAAGAACAAAATGACAAAATAAATGAAAAATTAGAAATGATACAATATCTACAGATAGAAATGCAGAAGATTAACACTAAATTCTCAGAAATAGGTAATATGTTGAATGGGCAAAGGGTAGAATAGAATCAATGGAAGAGAGAATTAGTAAGATTGAAGAGAAATACCTCAGTACTTCTTCGGAAAGAAATCAGTCAGAAAAAAGATCCAAATAAAATGAAGAAAGCTGATGGTTCACATGGGATACCATCAAAAGGAATAACCTAGGTGTCATCGGAATTCCAGAAAAGGAAGAGACAAATAAAACTACAGAGAAAATTGTCGAAGATTTGTTGGTAAAGAATTTCCCTGATACGATGAAAGACAAGAATATATCCATTCAAGAAGTCCAATGAACCCCAAACAGAATAGCCCCCAAAAGAAAATCAGCAAGACACATCATCATCAAACTCACCAAAACCAAAGACAAAAACAGTACAGGAAAAACAAAAAGTTACCTACAAAGGGCCAATAAGACTAAGCTCTGATTTCTCAGCAGAAACCATGCAGGGAGTAGGATGGTATATATAAAACTATAAAACCCTGAAAGAGAAAAATTTCCAACCAGAAATTATACACTTGGCAAAACTGTCTTCAAAAATGATGCTGAAATTAGGACATTTCCAGATAAGCAGAAATTAAGGGAATTTTCTAAAACCAGACCAACCTTACAAGAGATGCTAAAGGGGGTCCTTTGGACAGAGAAGCAACAACAGCAAACAACAACCATATCATCTATGTACCCAATGAAAAGGGGAGCTCTGGTGGTGTCATGCTTAAGGCATTTGACTGCTAACCAGAAGGCTAATGCTTCAAACCCATCAGCCACTCACTCCTCAGAAGGAAGATTGGGCAATCTACTTCTGTAGTGATACCACCTTGAAAACTTAAGGGGAGGGATCACTGTGAGTCAGATCCAACTTGACAGCAGTGACTTTAACCATAAGAAATATCTATGCACCCAATGAAAGAGCCCAAAAATATATAAATCAGACTTTAACAGAATTGAAAACAAAAAAGATGTCTCCACAGTCGTGGTTCCCTCACTGCCACTGAGTCTATTCGACTCATAGCAACCCCTCCTCGGGTTTCTGAGGCAGTATCTCTATGGAAATAGATCGCCAGTCTTCCTTCCGAGTAGCTGGTGGGTTTGAACTGCCAGCCTTCTGGTTGGCAGTCAAATGCCTCAGGCACGACGCCACTAGAGCTTTTAATACACCACTTTCGATCAAAGATAGAACAACTGAAAGAAACTCAACAAAGACACAGAATAACTAAACAATACATTCACTAACTTCACCTTATAGACCATTTCACCCAACAGCAGGACAATATATATTCTTTTCCAGTGCACATGGAATGTTCTCTAGGATAGACTATATGTTAGGCCACAAAGCACACCTTCATTAATTTAAAACCACTGAAGTACTGCAAAGCAGCTTCTCATCACCATGCTGTAAGATTAGAAATCAACAATAGGAAGATCAATGGAAAAAGTGCAAACATATGGAAACTGAATAACACACTCTTTGAAAATGACCAGGTAATAGAAGAAATGAAAAACGAAATTAAAAAATTCATAGAATCAATCGAGAATAAAAACACAACATACCAAAATCTTTGGGACACAGCAAAAGCAGTGATCAGAGGCCAATTTATAGCAATAAATGCACAATCAAAAAAGAGCCAAAATCAGCACCTTAACCCAACATTTCCAACAATTAGAAAAAGAGCAGCAAAAAAACCTTGCAGTCACCAGAAGATAATAAAGATTCAAGCAGAAATAAATGAAACAGAAAATAGAAAAAAAAAAAAAAACAACAACAACAAATCTAGAAGTTGGTTTTTTTAAAAGATTAATAAAATTGACAAAACCACTGGCAAATTTAACAAAGGAAAAGAAGGAGAGAATACAAATAACATGAATAAGACACTAACTGGGCAACGTCACATGGGAACCAACAGAAATTAAAAGGATAATTATCAGGATACTATGTGAGCTCTGGTGCATAGTGCCTTAGGCACTTGAGTGCTAACCAGAAGGCTAGTGGTTCAAACCCAGCAGCCACTCCTCTGAAGGAAAGTTAGGCAATCTACTTCCATAGTGATACTGTCTCAGAACCCTAAGGAGGGTCACTATGAGTTGGGTCCAACATAACAGCAGCAGCATGAAGAACTATATTCCAGCAAATTTGAAAATCTAAAAGAAATGGACAGATTTCTAGAAACATATTTCTTCCATACTACTTCCCTAAACTAACACAAGACAAATTTGAACAGACCCATAACAAAAGAAATTGAACACGTCATTAAAAAATTACCAACAAAAAAAAGCCCTGGCCCAGATGGTTTCACTGGAGAATTCCACCAAATGTTCAGAGAAGGACTGACACCAATGCTATGCAAATGATTCCAGAACATAGAAAAGGAAGGAACCCTCCCTAACTCATTTTATGAAGCAAGCATAACCTTGATACCAAAACCAGGAAAAGACATCTCTAAAAAGGGAAACTACAGACTAATATCCCTCATCAATATAGATGCAAAAATCTTCAACAAAATCCTAGCTAACAGACTCCAACAACATATCAAAAAAATAATACATTGTGACCAAGTGGGGTTCATACCAGATATGCAAGGATGGTTCAACATTAGAAAATCAAAACATCATCCATCATATAAATAAAAAACAAAGGAAAAGAACCACATGATCATATCAACGGATGCAGAGAGATATTTCAACAAACAGATGCCCCATTGGAGGCACTCACTCAGTTACGCCAAGAGATTTGGAGGACAGCTACCTGGCCAACTGACTGGAAGAGATCCATATTTGTGCCCATTCCAAAGAAAGGTGATCCCACAGAATGTA